TTAAATATATCAATATATCACTATATTTATTAAAAATTATTTTATTAAATTTATTTGAATTTAATATATGTAATTATGTGTATAGTAAATTTCAATAGAAAATTGGAGACAAAAACAAAAATATATATAACTTTTCTTTTGTTTAATGTTTAAAGATGATACTAATCCAATTTAATGGGTTAATAGGTTATTTGAATATTAATAGAGATATTAAAAAATTTAGAGATTTTACACTCAAATCCATTATGATTTAAGATACATTTAATAGAGAAAAGCTTAGATACTTGCAAACAAGTACTTTAATTTAAATTCATAATCCAAATATAAATTATTCCTATATAATGATCATCAAGTTTAACTTATTATTTTTATTTATGATTTCTGTTTTAGTAGAATATATTTGTCTTTTACTTCATAAACTGAATTGTAGCTTAAATTTAAATCAATAATAATCTTTGTTATTAATGGTAAGAGTAATAAATTTGAAAATCATTAATTAAAAATTAAATTAATGTAACAAACAGATGGCAATTCAAATAAGATATATCTAAGAGAGCCCCATAGTTTTGATGAAGGATTATATAAAAGTTTCTTTACCATAGGCAGACAGCATGAGATTCTTAGATGATGGATTAAAATAGGTTTTCAGTAGATACCACTTAGATTATTTTAAAAATTTAGAAACTATTTAACAAACGCAAAAAACCCACATATAATAATTAACAATATTTTACACAGTTCACTTATTATTTTTGAAGTAATAAAATATGAAGAGACTTTAATCAAAAAAGAATTGCAATTTAAATATTCTATGAAATCCAAAAATATATTAATTTTTATCATTTTGAGATTTAATCAAAATCAATAATACAATTATTAATAGAATCTCTAAGTATGATACAGTAATAAAAAAATTAAGAATATCCCTTTTGATTATGTAATTTAAATAAAATTGAGTTATTCTATTTATTAAATATTATAATGAAAAATTGATTTTCATAGCAAAATTGTCTCTTTCACTTAATTAGTAATTGTTGCCAATCATCTCTTTCATCTAGAGATCATAATATAAGAGATACAGTAAAATTCTCGAATCTTATAGACTTTTTGTATATTTTGAGATGGTTAGTATAAATATTATAGAGTGTACACTTCATAGAAAAGTTGTTGTGGATTTTTTATCTTAACTCTAAAATAAACAAAAAATAATCTAATTTAATTAAAATCAATTATCAAGCTCGAATAAAAATAATAGTTAAACCTGATTTGCTTCTTGAAAATATTATTCTAAAATATATACATTTAACAAAGTATTTGAGATGGATTCCATACACCGAATTTTTTAGAATGATTCTAAAATCTATACACTTCTTTACTAAAAATGGTTATATGAATATTAAAATGCTTCATTCATTTTTGTATAAAGAAATTCAGATGCAATATATAAATACTCAACAAATTAATACATATTTCAGTTTTAGTTATAATATGAAATATAACTTTGCTTGATTCAATACAGGAAATGAGTAGTTTTATAATATTTAGTAACTAGAGCTAAATTAAGTTCTTAGACAACAAATGCTCTATTAGAATATGGTGGATAAGGTTAATACATAATTGGATCTCTTCATTATAACTTAAATTTATTTTCAGGTAAAATTTCAATTAGAACTACTTTTGAGAACTCTATAATATTTTACTAATAGTGATAAAGCAAAATTTATATCATTTCTATCAAATTGTTAAGTACCTCCATAATAAGAATATCAGATTTCCTTACTTGATAAACTTTGTAATTGATAAAATTATACAAGTTTTGAATTTGTGTTAGATAATCCTATGAAATTTATGATTGAATTTTGGTTAAAAAAGATACTAGTTTATTTGCATTGAGAGAAACTATATTATCACTTCAAAGTCTCTATTAGAATAGTGAAATATATTCATAAGCCAAACCATTTTGGGAAAATGTAGATTAAGATGCTTCATTAATTCATGAATTTAGGATATTTTAAATTAGTTGTAAATGCCTAGAAGTTAATATGACTAATGTATTTTAATTATCAAATACTAATAACTGGAGCTTATTAAAATGTTAGACTATCAATATTTTACACTTGTTGTGATATATGAAGAAAATATTCTTTCTTAGGAATAAAAGATTATTAATTTTATACAAATTATAAACTTCTATATCACTATTTGTTGGAGAAGCATCAAATATAAATCTTATACCTTTTCAAGGAATGATTTCAAACTTAAAATTTAGATATTGCTTTCAATCCAATTTTTTATTTAGATTTTAATTTAATTTATGTATATTATAATAATTAATTGAAATAGACTGCAATCCATTATGTAAGAGTTTCATGTTATGATAAATAAAATCTATATTATTAATCTGAACTAAAATTATGTTTATGTAAAAAAGATTATAAAGAAAGTTAAAATTTAATTTGTTCCAGGAATTATGATTGATAAAATAAGAAAACCATTTGAGTTCTATGTCAATAGAGTAATCTCTATACAAAGAATTTAATATAAAAGAAATTACTAATATAAATAAATGTAACTTTGTATATTTTTAGGTTTGGAGAGATGAAATAATTAATATAATGTTATTTCAGAAAATCTATTTCAAATCAACCTTTGCCTTAAATACAATTTAATTCAAATTTAGATTTGGGCTCGTTATAAGATTGTAAATTCGTATATGTATTTAAAAATGGATATATAATTTAAGATTAACCATTCATCAAATCTACCGTTATTATTTAATCAGCATTTCTTTATGATTTACTATACCAATTAAAAACCCAATTATCTATTAAAATTATTATCAAAATTGAATTTAAACAATTTCTAATCTTAAATTTTATAGAAATAACAAAGAATTTAGTAGGAGATCATAAAAGGAATTAGATATTATAATTCTATTTATTAAAACCTAAAATAGTTTAATATTGGCAGTATCAAAAGCATCTGATGATTTATAAACATTAGATGGATTGAAATTAGCTAGATCATAATGGATTAAGAACTATAGGGTAATTACTTATTTAAATTTGAAGGATGATGGTACAGATGCTTTTAATGATTTACTTAATCAAAACATATCCATAATTAGGATATGAAGGAGTAATTATGAGAGGATAATCTAGTAAAATAAGACTATAACTGAATAATTGATAGATGAGAAATCCTTTTTTGAAAATCATAGATTGTACAAAAAATATTCTGAGAAAATGACAGAGAAACCATTCTAAGTTTAGTATAAATTAAAAAAATGATTTAAAATAAATGGAGATTATGACAATTTAGAAACTAAAGAAAATAAAAACTTATTAGTTTTGATTTTGATATCTAAATTCTCTTTTTCTTATAAAGATATGTTAGAAGGGGGATGTTTTGATATTACAAGGAAAGAATTGATTGGAAGTTTTCAACTAAACTTTTGGAAGAAGAATTTTTAAATTAATCCATTTGATGTCTTAAGTGATGATGAAATAAGAAGAGCTATCAAAAATGGTATTAAACAAACTCTATTTTTTAACGAAGAAGCATTTGTGAAATTAATAAGACAATAGCAATAGATCTCAAGATTAAGAATGCCTTCTCTAGAATGTTCTCATATGTATTCTCTAATTATTAAAATTTTTTTTTGAGCTATCTTTTTTATTTAAAAGAAATGATTTGTATAAATTTAATTTTTTAACAAACAAAAGAAAGTTTGATGAAAAATATTTTGAAGAATTAAGAAGAGTTGTGAATTAAATTTCAATTTCAGAAATAGAAAGATCTGATATATTTGCCAATAGAGTTTCAGAAGTTATTTAAAATCTATTAAACAAATGTTAATTTAATTGAAGTTGAAATAAGATATATATACTCAAGTCATCCAGATTTTGTATCTGGAATGAAAATCGTTCATAAGCATGAATAAAGATAAGATAATAATAATAAGTTTAAAAATAGAAAGAGAAATTGCTTATTTAATGGTATAAACAAATTGAAAATTTTTTTCAATTTTTGCCCTTTCAAATATAATAAGCAAACAGAACTCAATACTAGTAATTTAGACAAATTAAATAAGATGAGAAAAACAAATATAAATAGTTAAAAATAACAAAAATCATAATAACTAGAGGAAAGTCAAATTTTGTAATAATAATTAGTGATTAATAAGATAATTTCTGTGAATCAATTGTATTTTATGAATGATCCTAAAAGATAATTACTTTAAGTTCCAAATACATAAAAGATTACTGAGAAACCATCTAAATAAAAGCTAGTAAACAGAAATGGATATGATAAAGGATTTACTAGTGTTTTATGTTAATTTAGTAAAAAAGAATATTTTTGTTCAGTTCCAGAGACAGTTTATAATATTTTTAGTAAATTAATCAAGAAATTTTTGTGAAAGAGAATTAATAAGAGTATTGTGTAAATAAGAATTAGTAGATGAATTATTACAAAAGAATTAATCTATATAAAAATCAAAAGTAGAGACTAAATAATCTTTGATTAGTTTAAGGACATATTTGAATTTATTGAATGATTTGGATTAAAAAATTCTGACATTATTTAATAATATAAAATTAATTGAAATTCATTAAAAACACACATATTATAATTAATCTTTTAATTAATTTTTTTTACTTGTTCAATGCTCAATCAAAACCTAATTTAAGAATTTGAAGATTAGTAGATGGATAAAGTCCTAAAAATTGGAGTTAAATAGCTAAACATTTACCAGATCTAATTGGGAAGTAATAGGTAATAATATAATTTAATAAATAGATTTCATAATCATTTAGATCCTAAGATTAATAAGGAAAGATGGACAGATGAAGAAGATTAAACTATTCTAGAAGCTCATAAAAAATTAGGAAATCTTTGGTCTTTTGCTGGATTATCGAAAGGTAGAACAGATAATTCTATTAAAAATTATTAGAATTGCACATTAAAAAGAAGATTAAAGATGTAAAATAGATAGGAAGATTTATAAGTATTATAAAATTAAGATAATACTTAAATTTAAGGTATTCCAAAAAGAAATATGTAAAAAAAAAATTATTTATTAAGAAATACCAGTGAAAATGATCAAATATGATCCTGTTATGATAATTGAATTTTCAAACTCCATAATAATTTCCATCAAGTAAAAAGACTAATTATTATTTTATTTAGAACTAGAGTTAGTTTCAAAATATTTATTCATTGTATTTCCAAATTACAATTACAAAAAGTTAATGAATCTTTCTAGTGTATGCCTAATTATATTATTAATATAAACTATATTCAATTAAATAAATATAATGGTAGAAGAAAAGAGATTTGATATTATCCAAAAAATTATTAAAATAATGGAATATCAAAAATTACTTGTCAGCCCAAATGATGAAAAACGTCACTCAAGAAAGAAATACCTAGAGATTATTTAATAAATTTAGAAACTAGGGATCAACTTTTTTATATAATGAAATTTAAGATGAAGCAAACATGAAGCACATCAAGGATACCCTAATTACATTTAATGTTAATAGAAAAGTCATATATATAAGTATTAAATATTAGATGAGAAATTATTGACTGGAAAGTATAATTATGTTATTCTAGCAGATGGAAGATAAAAAACTTACATAATGTTTCTGTTTAAATTGTTTATCAATAACATTTAGGTATTCTGAAAGTGATTCTTTATTTAAAGAATTAGCAGCTATTTAAGAGTAATTTTCACTTTCTTAGGAACTTAATAGTAATAATTTCCAATATATCATCAACACAACATTGTTAATATGAAATAATAGCGAAATCTGTTTAAGTTATTAAGTTGATTACAAAGGAATGGAATCTTTTCTTACAAATAAATCTACAACAAAAAAAAATTTAATGAAATGCCAAGCGTATATTTAAGGATTTACTTCTATTCAATTCTCAATATTTTTAGAATTGTATGTATATTTCAGTAAAATCATGTTTTTATTCTGGAGTATCTCTATTCTCTTGTACTTTTTACTATTTTTCAGTTTTACTTTGGTTTATAATAAGAGTCCCTTCATAAATTTAGTTTTATTACACTTAATATTGAAATTTATTTATTTAATGTTTTTACCACTATTAATTCTGATATTAAGATTTTCAAGATCCATGTGTGATAAAGTTGATTTAGTGTTATAATTGATAATGGCTTTTTTCGAATTTCAGACAACAACTTAAAATAGTTGTTAACCAAAAATGAAAATTATCCTTTACAAGCCTAATCAATAGTGATTCCTATAGATTAATTTGCATCATTTAGTTAAGAAAAATTTTTAGAGTCAAGCACTTTTTAAGAATCAATTCAATAATTTTCTTAATCCTTAATTGAGCTTATTTAGGAGAATTTTCAAAATATTTTTCAACTTATAAGTGTAGATGAAGAGGAAGTGAAAATTTGCTATGCATATTCTAAAGAAATTATATGTGATTAGACATTTAAGAATTATCTTTTAAATAATCAAATCATAGAGGTTAAAAGAAATTCTTTAAACTTTTCAACAAATAGTTCAAATTGTTTAACAGTATTTGAGATTAGTTTAAATATTTATTTACTGGAATGTGATGATCTTTAAGGGAAATGGTTAAAATTGATTAATTAAAATAGTTAAATAATTAATTAATTACTTATTCCAGCTAAATTTAATAAAACTATGCATATTTTACAATTAAATTAAACTTATACAATTTATGAAATTTTTAAAAACAAATGCTATTTTACATTTGTCGAAATCAGCAATAATTTTAATTTAGACGTAGTGAAAAGTTATTTTTTTAACGAAAATCTAACCTCTGATAAAGTAGATGATGATATTGTATGGATTACTTCTTAAAAAAATAATAAGTTGATTATTGTGTTTAATTAATTCTAATTAGAGATGGATATTATTTAATTTAATTCTAATAGAGTTTATAAGTTAAATGATAATAACAGAAAACTTTTTAGATCGATATAAAAGTAGAAAACATTATAATTTGTAATTGATGAAACATCATAATAGCAAATTTAATTAGATTAGAGAAGAGTGATTATAAATCCAAAAAAAGATTAATTAAAGAATGCCTTTATTATTAATTAGAATTTTATATTATATTTTGAAAGTAAGGTTTTCATTTCCAGTACTCAATTAACAAATTACACAATAACTTAAGAATTTCAAGAATTGCTTGATTTAGGAAACTTACCCATAATTTTTGGAGTAACAAAGGCTGGATAAATCAAAATCTATTAAATTTTTGATTTACCATCTTCTATCAATCTTAATTCTTCTAAAGTGCTTTTTGTAAGAAATCTTAATTATTAAATCCTTTTAACTTCTAATATCTATAATGAATATAAATTAGAAACATCTGAATTAGTAACCTATGATTAAAAGAACTTAATATTTATTCTGAAAGATGCAAATTCTTTTTGTAATGGTGACAAATAACTAACTTATTTACATGATATTACTGAAATTAAAATATCAAATTATCTTTATGGACCACTTTGGTAAATTGTTGGGTTTAAAGATTTTGATAAAATTATATTAACTTTAGATTAATTTAAAATTTTAAAATACTAGCCAGAATAATTATCACCTTTATTATTAATTTATATTGAAAATATATTATTTCAATTTTACAAGAATAAAACACTCGTTATTTAAAATACTTTAGAGTAAAAGTATCAATTTCAAAATTAT